TGTGCCGCACAATCCTCCTAAATCCTACAGGGTAGGGGGGGAAAGAAAAAAAAAAAAAAAAAGAAAGGCGGTGTTAGATTTTCCATATCGCGTGGCGACTCTTTTTCGTTGGATCAGCCCTGATCTCAACACATGATCCTATGCCGCTGCGCGACACAACGAGATCTCGTGAGGCTTGGTCGTGTGAGTACCCAGATAGAGTATGTATGTATGAATGTAGCGTTCGGTATATGTAGGTAGGTATGTATGTACATATCTCTGACCTTGCGGATCTGGATGTCGTAAGAAAATAAAGATCCGGAGCCCACCGCAAATATTGGATTACTTGTCGACCTGTGGATTACTCTAGACTCCTATCGGACACTTTATTTTAAAAAACCTACCTTGTCATTCGGTAGGATTTGCTGTATCTACCCGGTTGCGGTTGCGCTGTGGGTAGATTAGAGCCCAAAACCGTTACCATTCACCATAATACCCGTCTTATAATATATTATGGTCCATACTTTGCAGAAGCTAAAAATAGACACTGACGAGTTAACCCCGCGGGCGCCCGCCTTCTCGTCTCCTGTTGCTTGCTTGCTGGTTATTATGTATTGCTGGTTGCTGGTTGCTGAGCCTGTCTTATACATAAGACGGCGTTATGTGCGTACACATACACACATACCTAGACATACATATATATATTAGGGAGATATATAGTATGCTAGTATATGCGAAGCGGAAACAATCCCGTTGCAATATCGCAAAATCCGTCGCTATTTGGATGAATGAGACGAGTCCAATACGACACGCCGTAGAGCGCCACAAAACGTGGTCGGCATGAAGGATTTGCCCTCGTGCATGTATTAAGACGGCGCAGCTAACTCGATTGTCCTGTCAACCTGTTCTCCGTGTGGATGCGCGCTATGAATCATGAAATGTCTGGGCAGGCGAATCCGAGTCGAGTTTGAATGGGCATGGGCTGGTCTGGCTGTCAAACTAGCAGACTGGGCAAGACTCTGATCGCAGCTGACTGCCGAGGTAGATCAGACCCGGCGCAATATTAGAAATTCGACAATCATAAGATTACGTATGTGCGTACGGAATCAGAAGCGACTCGGCTTCTGACGGGCACCGGAGTGTACCAACAACACCGACTGATACGTTGCAGCGGCTCCTAACATGACGATGTATGTATATATGTAATAATCTGTCAGCGCCTAGCTAATAGCTAATAAGCAGCTAAGCAGAAAGAAATAAGACAAAGTTCGGGGTCGGTAGCTGGATCTGTCTGGGTATGTGGGCAAGGGTTTGGCGGCGGTTGGCGTGGTCGACATGGTTTGTACGCAGACTAACCTAAAGGTAAAAAAAAAAAATTAAAAAAGGTGAGGGAGGAATTTTAGTCTGGGGCGCGTTGATCCGGTTTATTGGGAAGGCTATTGGTAGAGCGTCGGGGTTTGACCCTGAAGAGGAAAGTGAGAATTATTGAGACCCCTGCTTCCCTCGGGTTCGCTTCCCGGGGCTGCTCCGGTCCGTCGAACGGCTCTAAGCTTCTAGAAGCCGGTAAATCAAGCTTCTATTGGTCCGAGCTCTGCTGATTTACCGATCTCACACACTCCTTATCTGATTATACTACCTATACCTTGTAGTATATACCTACGTACTACGTTGTACTCGAAAGGAAATAAGAAGGAAATAAGAAGGAAATAAGAAGGAAATAGGAAGGAAAGAAGAAAAAATAAAAAAAACACTTTCGGTCACCACCTGCTCACCTACTCGGCCCATTTAAGCTCCATAATCGACCAGATGCACGGTAGTCCCTTACTCAATAGTCTGTCTCCATTAGCAATTAGCAGTATTGGCGACTACCGAGTAAAGGATCCAATTCGAATGTAAAAGTCATGTCACTCCGGCATTAAGTACATGGAACCCCTTGGCGAGCTGCTATTAAGCTAGGTTAGGAGGTACGTACCTCTACGAGTACTATGTACATGCGATAAGCTAGAGGAATAATAATAGGTAGGTACTTCTCAAATACCTTTACGCACGGGGCACATGGCGCCGCCCGGCAAGCATCTGCAGCCGCGAAGGAAGCTGGAGCTGAGTGCGACCCAGCCACATGGCCCTGTCTAACAGCCGATCCTCAGTTCTTAGCAGGTGGGTTTTATTGCGAACGTCAAGGGAAGATAAGTCCGGGTCCGGGCACTTCCTTCTCCAGGCACCAACTCTTTTTTTTTTTTTTTTTTTTTTTTTCTCTCTACATTTTACATTTTACATACATATCTAGGTACACTTACGGAATTGCACTAAACAGGTACCTACCTAACCCTGCCAACCTAGGTAACTATGTAAAACTATTTAATGTATCCGTACTTTATCGCTTAACTAGCGTCCGCTTAAGATCCCAGGTCGCCGGAGCACAGATCATATGAGGGACAGCTGTGCAAATGCCGACGACACCTTTCACTTCGGACGATTTACCTAGACCCTTAGACCATTAGACCATTTTTGTCACTTCTGGATTAGTCTGAAAGTCTAGTCCAGTCCACTTCTCTCTCCTTCAACTTACAGCATACAACGCCAACGCGCACCATTTCCAGCCCAGCCGTGTCGCCTCTCGCTTACGTGCTATGAGACCTTCGGAAGGATTGCCTAGGCGCCTTGCCACTTCTCGCCAGGTCAATACTACTTATTGACCCTTGAAACCCCTCCTTGGATGATAGGATCTATTAAGAGATGAGTAAGAAGTTAGTTTTGCTCGGTAGTGTGCAACTCGTGTCCGACATGGGACGGTGATACATATGATGATGGCAAAGATCCATGTTTGCGTCCTAGAAAGGGGGTTAAAAAAAAACCTTGAGCCGCAATTACTCCTGATTCTGTGTGTCACGAGCAACCCAACCTCGGCTTCAGCTTTGTCCAAATAAAATCCTTAATATATAATATATAATGACAGGTCAAACGAGTTGCTAACTCGAGCTTGCTCAGGGGGCAATCACCCTTGATAATTCCGCGACAGAACCTTGCTCTTGCGGGCAGGAAGCGTAGCCCTTACGTCCGGGGGGGGTCGATCATAGTGAACGGTATGTATCAGGACTAGCCAAGTTCGTTGAAATTCGGCACTGCGGATTACTGAGCCACGAGGGTCATTTCGCTAATCTGTACGAGTCGTGTTCGACATGGGCATGACGCGGCGGAGGAAGCTGCATGGGATGGACGGGATGATGAGACGTGGCTCGATCATCGAGACTAGATAGATCACTAAAATGACCTGCTAATTAGTGTAGCCTGCTAACTCCCTAGTTCTTAGCCCTTAGCTCTCTTAGCAAAGAAGCTGGCCTAGGTCGCCGTCGATTAAATCCGACGTTTTGAAAATCAACGCCAGGTAGGCTCGTGGCTTGCTCAGTTTCTGATGTGCCACGCTAACTTTGATTTGACTGCGCATTTAGGAGATGATGACCTGCAAGCGTCCATTCCTGGGTTTGTCGTATGAGAAACCCTTCTGAGGACTCGCGTTGCATCCCCTAGTCTGACCGAGTGCCACCAGGTTTGCTGGCATTGCGATAGGTCATAAAGATAAATTTCCTTAGGCGGTCGGATTGGTCACATGGACATTGTTGGCCACTAGAAGAAACGCCGAAATGTTGATTGCTTTAACCCAATCAGCTGGATCGAGTTAATAGGATCATCAAGTTCCATCATCTAGTTGATATCTAGGGAGCATGAAAACAAACCACATACATACGAGGAATGACATGTATGTAGACATGTATGTAGACATGTATGTATGTATGCCATACGTATGCCGTAGAGTAAGAGACCCCTTTCGGTCTCGAGAAGGATGTATGTACAGCGAGCTGGGGTAAACTAATTCAGCTTGTGCCCCATCCGTGCTTCCGCCGAGAGCGCGACTTGGTGGCGAGCATGTTCTGTTGACACTTCCGCCAGGTTTTCTTTCCACTTAAGCCCCATCGCAGACTTGTGGATAGGCCAATAAAAGGGGCCCTGAGCTGTCAATAGAGCTGATTGATGAGGCTCCCAACTCGTCATACCAAGTAGCACAAGCAAAATGTGCCGTACCATAGGCGACACAACATGTGCTCCATTACCATAAATTCGAGTATTGGCGAGTCGATGGATAGATACCCTTGCAGGATAATTTGCATGATAATTTTAGTTTGCGACTTAGCTGCCGGTGATAGAAAACAATTGCCGGTCGCAGTTGGGCAGCGTCTAGTTCTAAGATACCTAGCCAAGCCCATGCCATTGTCTTATTATTGGAGGGGTATTATATCTCCACATGTCATCGGCTTTTGTTTTCTTCCCTGGCTGGTTCTCCGGACTTTTCGGCCGGACTCGATGCCGGCATGTCCAACCATCTACGAATACCGCCGAACTAACACTGTAACTGCCAGATGACAGATGCTTTTCTTCCCGTTTCGATGGAGTCGGCAGGTCTGCGACAAGCTTGTTTATATGTAATATAATCTGAAGCAGTAACACAAAGTGACGCGCGACAGTTCAGCAAGGCTTTAAAAAGGAAAAAAGAAAGAAAAAAAAGAAAATAATCCGCCATCCGCCCTTCTGCAGCGATCATTACATGTGTGGCGGGGGCGTGGAGCAAAAGCCCGGCTTCCTATTTCCTACGTAGCCCCATCAGCCCATTCCCTAGAAGGAGAATATTAGCGAATGCAAGTTTCGGGGGGCTCCAAAAGGGACGAAGTGGGATACATATTTTTGCCCAGAGGCCTAGTCCCGTGAGTAGCTAGGCCCAAAGATGCCGTCTAGCTAGCTCGAGTGATGATGAATCTACCTACTTTCCATGCGACGCATACTACCGTGTATTATACATAATACCGCAGTACATCGAGCGGCTCCTCCCACTCGGCCGACAACGAAAGGGCCGGAGGAGGGTTGATAATGTGGAAACTAGTGGGGAACTGTGCATTGTATATCGCCAATGAGTTTCCCAAGACGGGCTTAGCACTCCAAGCTATCCAAGCTATCCAGGCTATCCAGGCTATCCAGGCTATCCAGGCTATCCAAGATTTTTTCGGGTGCTGATCGTATGAGCCCTTGCGAAGTTGCAAACTTGATAGATTCAAGCTAGCAGTTAGTCTCCGGAAGATTGAAGTTAGGATTTTTGGATTCTTGGGTTCTTGGGTTCTTGGGACGACTAGGCGTTAATAAGGACGAGTCTCGAACTCCAGTCGTTAATAACTTACACATTAGGCTCTTTCTTAAGAGTGTTAGTGCGCGGCTGCAAGCGTCCCGTCTGCAAAAGGACCATGCAGTCACGAAGTCTACCTAGGTAACTAACCCTTTCTACGTAGTAGATAGCTGCGATATAGCTCGTGCTAGCGAGGATAGCTTATCCATACGCGGTAGATGAAGCCGGCACCAAGCGAGCAATACGGGGAGAGACTATACCAATATGAGACTAAGATCAAGGGAAGGGAGAAGTACTACCAACTAGTGCACCCAGACCACTGGAATCACACTAGAGTGCTACGTGCCGGCGCACGAGCTCCTTTCGTTACCAATTAGCCGTCATGGGAGTATTAAGAGTATACTATCTTAAGAAGTTGGCCGACTCTCGAAATTACCTACCGTACCTACCGCCTACTTTATGCAGATTATGTATCAGCCGTATGTGCATATACGTGGTCTGGAACCCGGGACTTACTATACATATCTTGGCTTTTGTTCCCTTTCTTCGCTGCTAATAACCGACTAAGCGCTAAGACCCGGTACGAGAAGAGAGCAAGAAAGCTTCCTCCAGGATTGTATGTATTCGCCATGACCCATAAGTTCGCAGGTATGAATCAGGTCGCAGGTATCAGGTCGGCGACCTTTATTTTCCTTGTTGGATCTGCCATCTCCTTGAATTGTTTCTAGAATGCGTAAATAGTAGGGAAGCTTGAGGAATGAACCATGGGTATATGAACGACGGTTCTCTTGGGATTCATGTTCGTTACGACAGTACCCCTCGCTTATGCTTCCTAATTACCCCATATACATATAGCACGTTTCACAAGCATGCATTTCTGATGATAGGTTGACAAACGCGCACTTCGGTAAATCGAGCTAACTGTCCAGGAGAGCCACGGGAGCAAGAGTAGGTACGTAGAGTACGTACCTCGACCGTACTTTGCGAGCTGCTTACATACACGGGGGCAGGCACAGGCACGCGGCGGGCAACGGACAACGGGCAACGGACCAACAACTACGGGGATACATTAAAAGTACTTTGGCTGTATTTGTCGATCAGCTCCGTTCGACTAAAATGTACCGGCCCACATAAAAGTTAACATCATCATGTCTCTCTTCCCACAATCCATAATTCGCAACCATAGCTAAGTATGGAACAACCACAACACAACCCCTAGACTGCATACGTAGGTATTTCACATATACATAATCAATCAATCGTTTAATCTACTTACGGCAGTGGACGGGGGTGTTCTCGCCTTATGATCTATGATCTCCAGGCATGCCTTTAGCTTTATATCGGCGTAACCCCGTAATGACTAGCCTCCTCCTAGCCCTGACCTTGACCCTGGCCCTGATCTCACTTATTCCCTTTACCGAGTGTGTACGTACATACATACTAGATGTAGCTAGCGGTACGTATCTACCCTACCCGAGCCGCTGCCCCATATTCTGTACTTTTTCTATACGATTAATACGATTAGCTAGTTAGACTTAGAAAGGCTAGGTTATGTCCAGCTAGGTTAGGCATACTCGGCCAATTCGCTTATTATAGTTATATCTCATGTAAGTAAGTTACTGGGCAGGTACGTGCTTTCGTGCTTTCCGCAGACGAGAACCAATACCATGCCGTCGGAGCCGATACCTAACCGTCATAAGTGGAAAGAGCACCTCACGAATTTGGTGACAAGGGGGGGTAACGATTACCAAGTCGTTCGTTGTACTCGCCATGGGGCAGTGGCCATGGAGGTCTAGGTTTTAATACATATATGTATTATAGTACATACTACATACTACATACATAGAGGCAGTTCGCTTGGTAGTCGCTTTGGACTTTGGATCTTAAGATGTACATATTATTATTATTATTATTATTATTATTATTATTATTTTATTCCTATATTTCCTTTCCTATGTACTCTTTTTCAGCAAGGTGACCCCAGATTAATAAGAGGTAACAAGATTGAAAGCCATATGTGTAACAAGTCTACCTGTTACGAGATACATGCATGCATACATTCATACATACATACAATAACTCATCCTCCCAATCCCTCCTCTCTTCAATAATTGTCTTGCCCTCTCGAATCATATTTCCTCGTCGATACGTCCATATTAACCTTACTTCTTCCGCTGTATCTGTACATTCAACCTCACTGACGCTGGGGCACATGCTTTCATAACTCTGCTCAACATACGAACGCTCACCACAGGCTCACTTACAACATCGTGCATTGGCTATATTTGACTATCACGCGAGTCGGGACCCTATTATCCCTTGGCCTGTGTCAGCTTATATAGAATCTGACACTGTTCACCATCTGATCTAGCCATCAAGCACGTAGACCGCTTTCAGCATTCCTCACGGACCTAATTAAACGATTAGAAGGCACTCCGGATTGGACAGCAACACGCTGAATCTGAACGGCCAATTATCCGGAATTCTGGCCACTCTCAGCGACTCGGCTCGACGACTTACAGCTCAGAGGGTGGGCATATGTACTGACCAACTTACCAACTACGCCGCTGGATGACCTTTACCCGGCAGATACCCAAAACATTCAACTAATTCAGCGTGTATCTTTCATCTCTATCTACGCCGTTCTCTCTTGGTTTCATAGCTTTGCCTGCGAACATACAAACAGCTGCTAAATTTTAGCTTGATATGTTGTAAGGAATTATCCAGCATCGCATTCTATCTCAATGGGGATACCAGTCAGATTAGAACTTCACCGTCCATCCGCCATTCCTAATATACCTCCTGGCCTGGTCAGCCCAAGCTCATCGACTCTCACACCTAAGATTCTTGAAGAACCAGCTTGGACTCCTTCTGCGCCTATTTCTCCTCCCATGTCTAACTATGATCCGAGCACCCGACCAGAGATGCCGGCTACCAGAGATTTTGAAGACAGCCAGATGCGAAGAGATATTAATGGTGCACCTCGACAGCAACTCCCGCCTTTAAGTAGCTTGTTTGGTCCTCCTCACCACCATGTCCGCCCAACACTTTCTCCTCTCCCGGATCGACCAAGCTCGCTCCACAGTGCACACTCTCCCTTGGATAGGCCACATTCAAGAAGCTCCTCTTATTTTCCAAACGTATCTCCTTCCTTGAGCCAGCCTCGCAGCGTCTATGAGCCGAGGCCGGAAGCGGAGCGGCCAACACTCCCCTCGGTTGCTTCTCAGTTTCCTGGACCGCTAAGGTCTCCCACGCACGAGTATGAACATTTGCATCGTGCAACGCAAGCCGAACCTGTTCCGTCCGGAAGGTGGGCGGACTCGAGGCGGGAGTATGTGTTCGAGTCCCGGCCGCCAAGTCCCCCTTATAGGTCGGTAAGCGAGCGTATGCCACTCCCTCCCCTGAACCAGCGATTTGGCTATGAATCAAATCCAGTATTCAAGAGGGAAAGTCAAATGCGTCTAGACCCGTCAAGTCACTCACCGACTCTAGCGAGCGTAGTTGCACCAGAAGGTGCGCCGGTAAAAGACGGGCTAGGACCTAAGATATGGACTGGAACACACTTTTTACCTCGATTTGTGAAGCAGGCTGAGGTCCCAGGAGAGGGACTGTGCTATTTCTATGATGATGGGACTCATTGCAAGACGGTCATTGACGGAGAGCCGGTTAACGCCCACTGGGGAGTTACGAAGGCTGGGAAGCCGAGGAAACGACTTGCGATAGCTTGTCTCACGTGCCGGGAGAAGAAGATCAAGTGCGACCCTGATTATCCTCGATGTGTTCAGTGTGAAAAATTCGGCAGGGTCTGCAAGTTTAAGAACGCGTGAGTCTGGAGAGTTGGTGCTGTCGGGGTGGTGTTTTATTCCGCGTGCTAACCTTTTAACATAGTCCTCGTGGTGGTCACAATACGTCTCCGGTGGCTTCATCGGCTGAACACGAACTACCTAGGTCGCTTGGGTCGCACCCAGGCGCAATAGATTTTGGAAGACCTAGGAGCGCCTCAAGTACGTCAGTCTCACCGCGTACCACGAAAATGAGCCATCCGTCTCCCGAACTACTCCCTGGCTTATCCTCTAAGAGGATGAGGTTTTCGTATGACGACTATCCGCGACAACCACCGCCCCCAACAAGTCGTCCTCCCCCAATGATTTCTATCCCCGAGATCAAACGGGCGCCTAGTGGCAGTATGCCATCCTGGCAGCGCCACGATTTACCTCGCGATATCCTTTGTCGACCATGGCAAACAGACTCGTATGTATACGCCCTCTGAATAACCACTCGACCACCTGTATTTGCTCTTCATCATGCGCATTGTGCTATCCATTTGGCTAGCGTTGCTTTAAAATCATACTCAACAAATAATGACCATAATGCTCATATATCTAATACATAGGAGACCCCATACACGTGTATAGAGTTTTTGAATGATTTCGAGCCGAACAATTTCACCGACGAAATATCTGCACAGCTACGAACTTGTTCTGGCTAATCTAAGGATACGTCCATTCTGTTTGGCAAACATGAAAAGGAAATAGTACCTAATATTAATGGATACGTCAAAAGCGGAGTTGTCTAGGTTAGGGGCTGGTGGCGTTCACACTAGGCTTGCCGGCCTTGGAAAGAGATAACAGGATATTTGAAGAAACCCAAGCGATGAATGTCTTGTTTTGATGCTAATTTGGGGAGTTGGAAGCATCGGCTTGCAACACTTATACGATATGATCGTATCGTTTCCATAACCCTAATTCGAGCCCGACATCAAGAGGGTTCTACTTATTCCTGGCTGGCTTGCATTGCTTTTTCGGTTCTATTATGATACCCATCAACGAAGTGGGGACGTGGAAAGGGTACTCAAGGCCGTTACCGAAATGTTAATCGGTTGGTGGAGAAAGCGATGATACCCCCTTTAACCCTTCTTGATTAGGCGGACTAAAAGCCTCTTAATCTAAGAGTTTTCCTATTACCTCACTTGGAACGAGTATCTCCAAGACTTCGATAACATGCTTTCGGGGTAGTCCTATCCTACACCGCGACTTCTTTCAATAATAGTCGAGTTCGTTTACAATAGCGAGTCGTACCGTTACTTTATTGGTACTATCGCGACTTTTGCAATATTTCGGCCCTTCGACCGAAGATCTACACTCAGTTTACTAGATAGCCCATTGCTAGTTGGGGTTGGGCAGCATCCTAGCGGGCGTTTTGATTTTGATATGCATGTCTTAAACGGCCTCAAAGCATTCGGGAGGCGGGCACGAGGATGAGATTTGGATATCCTGGTTATTGCATTGAATGATTTATCTGGCTGTTTGGATTAACTGCATGTTGCGCCTCATTTTTTATTTTTATTTTTATTTTTCGTCTAGGACTCACACAGTTGGTTACCAGTTTCATGTCTATTGTTTATAAAGAATACCCTGTACTATACCCCTATTTGTGGCATTTGAAAGCACATAAATGCCGTAGGATTACATACGGAAAACGATGGATTTTAAAGCAAGGGCGCTCGAGGCGGAAGAGTAGTCAATAAGGAGGGAGGAATAAAAGTTGACTTTGATATAACAGTCATGTGTAGTCGTGTATTACCGTCTACCCAACACTTGTAGTTGTGACACTCGAGCCAACAAAGTAACACATAAGAAGGCGATTGTGTAACGTGGGTATACACGACGCCTTACTCGATTTCGAAGGATTATTCGAGCGTTTTAAGACTACTAGAGGATGGGATTGTGTCACTCGTAGGTAGACAGCACGAGAAGAGCATTGTTGGCCGAGGCTAAGGATCCTGTCATCGCCGCGTGATCCAATCGCATGCCTCGCTCTCGGCATGTCGTTGTTCAGGCAGCGGCTAGAGAGCCATCAGATCATAATTCATTTTTGATGCCACGCGAAAAGCTAATGCCACAGTGGTTCTTTCCTCCCCTACCCCCCTTTTCCCACCCTCGTCTTCCAAAGAGGGCTGGCTGGTCACGTTTCCTACAGGGAGCACACCCTTTCGCAGTTCCTAGCAGGTTTTTATTTTATTTTATTTTATTGCTTCTTTTTCAGGGTACCCACGCCCGAGGCTTGTTCCTCGGTGGGTTGGTAGGTACATATGGATTATGTACATTAGGTACCACATATGTTGGACCTTGTCGGCCGGGGAGAAGGCCAAAAGGGGGAGCTGGGCCCGCTGCTGTAAGCCCGTACGAACAGGCGGAATGGGAAAGCATAGGGCCCACTCGGAGATACGAAACCGGGCTACCAGAAGTCGTTACGGCCGGTAGCGCTGCTGGAATCAGGAAAGCTGTGCTGCGAGATATACTGTATGGGGTCGTGTATGTACGTATGTATGTACGTGTGTATGTATGTATGTATGTATGTGAGCTTGGAGGATATAGTTACCTACCTACTAACATAACTATACGCATAACTAGAAGTACATGGGAAGTATGTAGGCAAGGCAAGGCAAGGCATGTATACATGTATGTATGTAAGTAGGTAGGTATGTAGGTAGGTATGTAAGGTGGGTGTATAGGACGGGACTCACGTACATACATGACATGTAGGCTGACTGCAGCTTCGAAACCACGTTGCACGATGCTGTCAGCTATTACCTACGCTACGGAGCCTGTGTCTCGAAGCCATGTGTGCGCCACACGACACATCTCGCGGTAGGTGAGACGAAGGTAAGTAGTAGTAGTTATTGTTGTAGTTGTTGTTGTTTGCGCCATTCCCCGCCAGCCCCTCGTCTCCTATTCGCTGCCGTGCGTTGAATATACCTAGACTGCCTCATATATACGCCGTCTCCCCGCCGCCGCGCCTCGTGAGGGCATAGAAATTATTGACTGACTGACATATGTTGAGACGGACACACAACATATTTTCGTGCGTGTAGTGTAAGAGTCGTAGACGGCGGGACAGGTTGGGTTGGGTTATGCGCCGAAGAACTCCCGCGTAGTTGATGTTGAACCCATACATAGTACACACACACACACACACACACACACATGGGAGAGGCGTCTTAACTCCGTGCCCTGCTGGATCTTGGTTTCCAACCCCTTCCCAATCGCAGGGGTTCAGATTGCGTGTGTGTGGGTTGATGATACCTATCCCACGACAACACAACCTCTGCCCCCCCTCCTGAGCTTACGTATGTTAGGCAGAGGTATTGGTTGGTGGGGAAAAGGCAGGGCGTATTTCGCCGGGGGCGGGGGGTTGTGATGGAGAAAGGAAAAGGGCAAATGCGTAGGTTACTTTGTATATTATCGATAATAATCCCATCTTGGGTAGATACAGATGCCTTAGGTCTTCCATCTATCTATCTGTCTGTCTGTCTGCCTGTCTGTTTCCCTATGTATGGATTATGAGGTATCCAATATAAATATACACACATGCACACATGCACATATACACAATACTATAATAATAATAGTCTATGTATACATCATAACCACTTATTATACACACATACGGTAAATAGTACGTCACCACCACCACTACCCCATTACGCACTACCGGGCGCCCCAGAAATATGTCAAGATAAATAATAATAAAAAAGCCACTGCATAATACCTAAGTAAGTTGCTATGTATGTGGGTACATAGGAGGCAGCTATTCAAGGTAGGTATATGTAAAAGCGGCCGAGCAGGTAGGTATATGTAGGTATATTAATAATCGAAGGCCAGCCCATCGAAATAAAAATAAAGTATGTACAATACCTAGGTACCTACATACGTATCGCGAAGCCGGCCTGGGGTTGCACCGTGGAGACCCAGGGGACTGGTCGCCCGCGGGTACGTACTACTGCTAGTGTAGGTTAGGTATTATACCTGTGTCGATATTGACTTACTACCTACCTAGGTTAGGTACATGCGTATCGGTATAGGTATATGTACCTCGGTACTTGGCGATTAACCCAAGCGGGACTTCGAGCCGGCGGAGCGGGTTTTATTATCTACCTACCTACATACGGTACACTACATTTATGTACGCTACGGAAGGGAAAAGGGTCCACGCCAAAAAGCACAAAGGGTCCCTCGTAATGTATGTGTCAACCCTAATGGAAACAGCCTCGTATCTTATATACATAGGTACATACATACATACATACATACATACATACATACATACATACATACATACATACATACATACATACATACATACATACATACATACATACATACCCAAAGTATTACATAGACTGCGCGTATCGTACCAAAAAAAACAAGTTCTATTACATACCTATACTACATCTGCAAATAGGCAAGGCATGTAATCAGCGTAGACTAACTACCTAAGTTACGTACCTACTCTCCAAGGCCCACAATGTCCATCTCCTTGCGGTATACTCTGCGCCGGCCCGTCGTCATCGTCGTCTTTTATCTGCTCGCTACGAGGAAATTGTTGCATTCGGCCCCGTCTGTTCGTCTAGGCACTGACTTACTTACTTACTTACTTACTTACTTACTTACTTACATAGGTACCTACCTAGGTAACCTCCTTGCTCGCTCGCTCGCTAACTCGCTTGTTCTATTACCCTTTCCCGCCTCGGCTCGACTATGCTATGTATGTGCTCAGCTGAACTCGTAGCTCCCGACTGGGAATAGCTTCTTCGTAATACAATACACGCGGACAAGAAGGTAGGTAATAATAATGATGATGATAATAATAAATAATCATAAAAGAATATCCGCCTCGTGGCCGGGGCCGCCCGGAAGAAAAAAAAAAAAGGGTTATCCATCTATTCTCTCTGCTTTTCCCCTTCCTGCTTTTTCGGCAACCCTTCCGAGCCCCATCGCCGTGTCTCCCTTCTCACACCTCGCCTACCTGCGCGACATCGACAATCGACAATCGACATCGACGCCGGCAGCTCGGTTAGCCAGCCAAGAGCCATCTCCAGCTCTCGCTGCTTGCCTAAGTGCTTACATATGTATACTCGAAGCTCGGCAGACGAGGCCAGAACCCCAATCGTCTATATATCCAACCAGCCCAATGAGGAAGGTTCCGATCTCCTTTTTTTTCTTTTTTTCTTTGTTGTTGCTTTGTCAATACTTGCTCAGAAACTTGTCCACCGACGTGAAGGGGAGGGGGAGAGAGAAAGAGAAAGAGCAAGTAAAGACGTAGTAGTAGTTAGTAGTAGATATCAAATCAAGTTGCAACCAAGTATATGCCAGCCAGCATAATATCAAACACGGGATATCGTAGACGCCCAAAGCCCCATTCCCAGCTTCGTATAACAGCCCGAATCCGCCAATACGAGGTCTCGGTACTTCTGCGCCGGCGAGCGCCGGTGAGCTGCATAAGGTACCTATCTTGGCTCTCCTATCCACACGCCGGAGCCCTCGAAGCATCGATCCGTCGGAATAGGCTCGAAACGGAGCGGCTCTTGTATGCTGAGTAACGTCGATCCCGTCACACCCGCCCATTCCTTGTCCTCTACTACCGCCCTCCGCACTATGTTCCTACCTTCACTTCACTTCAATATACATGATGGGGGGTGTCTTGCACGTATGCGCTGCACTGTATGAAGATCCCACTCGCGTCGGAACTTGTCAAAAAAGACAAAGGTAGCTTTCTCACAGACAACCTATCAAACACGAGAGGGTATATTGTCATCAGCCGTCTGACCTGGCCAACGAGAAAGTAACAATCGCTCCCCTTGTGACCTGGCCTAACCTGACCAGCAAAACGCCCAGCATCGATACCGCCCGCCTACCCGTACGATCCCACGATGCAATGCTATAGTATTATACATAAACGCCTTTGCCTTAACCTCCTCCAACGGACCCGGATTTACTGTGCTCGCTGCTACCCTCAACTTCAGGCCGAGCCCTCCTGGCCCATCATATTAAAGGCCTGCCGTGCATATTGCGTCGCATCACTCCACGCCTTCTGCGCGTCGAGGGCCTGTCCCTGAACATCGAAGCTCTGGGCAAGCATGCCATCCGCCACACTCATCCACAGCGTATTACCGCTCCTCTTCGCCTGATTCGAAGCCGCCTTCGCGCTCTTTAGCGCCTGATCGCCTACGATGTTCTGGAAGAGCTTGGCCCGCATGACGTTGAGCGCTATCGACAACGTATGCACGTTACCTAGGGACTGGGCGCTATTTAATGCCGTAGATATATGCATCTTGACTGCCGTCATCGGGATGGGCGGGTTCGTCTGGACCGCCGCTAGCACCAGATTGTACGATGTGCGGATCTCCACGTTAGGGTGATCGCTACAGAGAGGACGGAGTTGCTCCAGGAGCTCAATTGTCAATCGGTCGTTTCTGTAATCCGGATGCTGCATGATCCAGATTCGGTTGAAGGTCGCCAGTAGTGACACGTCAACTTCGGCTGCTTTTCGATTTCCGCCCCTTCCGCTGTCGTTGTCCAGGCTAAAGATTGGGTTGCCGAAAATTGAGTTGGCGGTTTTTAGATCGCCAGTCCCTTGATGATACACTCCTGCAAGATATGTCGAGTATAGCACGACAATAGCCCCAAGAGGAGGCTTAACCATATCCTCTAATTTTGCCACACATTTCTTAACCTCAGGCCATCGAGTGTGGGTTGCAAAGTGCAGACCTTGGAGGATGTAGAGATAACACATCCATTCTCTTTGCCAGTCCGCTTTCGTAACAGCATCCGCTAACGAATTTGGTAGCCCCTGTAGTCTAACACCATCTATAGTAAAAGTTAGAAGCCGTCGTGAAAGAAACATTCTACTGGAACGCCTTACTCTTTTGCAGTTGGGTTATGGCTTCCTCCCAAAGTCTAAATATCCTCTTGTCGTTGCGAGGAGATTGGTGCAAGAGCGCAAGGCCGCTATACGTATATCTAAAGCTACTGTTAGCAGATAATAATATGATCAAAAGAGCAAGAATTTTCTTACGTGACATTGTAAGCTTCTAACTTGCTCCAGAACGACATAACCAGATAGTCGTAGAAGCCATCATCAGGTCCAGGTCTCAATATAGCCGCTGTATCATGGCTGATCGTCATTATATTGCTATTGCGAATGGGCAGAAGGAGTTGCGATTCTATGGGATGCCAAGAGTTGTCGTTCATATAAGTGTCCATGTGATCCTGGAGATTTTTCAATTTCTGCATGATTACCTGGACCGACTTTTGGTGTAAACTACAGGCGAGATCTAGCATGAGGGCTAAAGCATCGAGTTGCGGTATGCGAACCGAATCCTCAAACTGATACTTTAGGGCTTGAGCAATACAGGCTTGTACGCGAACTATAGCGTCGTCCTTCATAGTCTTGAGAAGACTGAGGCCCTCAAGTAATGAGGCCGCTACAAAGATCGCATGTTCGTTCCTCTGGTTAGCTAGATTGGCAATGGCTTTTAGGTTGTCGAGTGCGTGCGTCTCAGCAGGGTTAGCAGACTGGAGGTACATGGAAGTTTTGAGGAAGCGAAAAGCGTAAATCCAATGGCAATGTTTCACCCTGCTGCGAGTTAGAAGACATGCTTGCAGCGGTGAGGGAGCACGTACACTTCAGCATCCCTTATCCGGCCGTCTACGGCAATCATAGCTGCCTTTACTTTCTGCTGCGAGAAGAGTAATTTGACCTGAAGAAAGTGCATGGCATACTTTAGGTCGACAAATCGATTCTATACAGGTAGTCAGCGGATGACCGAGGCTTATCGAGGGTTACTGGGTGTCGTTTTACTCGTTCACAAAGCGTGATACCCTTAGTCAGGGCAGTCTCAGCCTCCATCACATTGTTTGTTTCCTCGGACAATATACTGGCATATCGGAATCGTATCCTAGCTTCCAACCGCGGTGCCAATTTTGGACTCTCTAAAACAGCTTCGAGACAGCCTAATCCCGTCGCGACAAGCTTCTGATACTCGTTCAGGCTCTGAGGATCGATATTATCTACCATAGACACGGTCGACGCCCGCGCTTTGCCAAAGTATTCTTCTGCGATACATATTAAGAGGGAATTGGTATCGGCATGGTGTGGTAAGAGCCCTGGTGTCAGAGCAGGCGACCTTGTCGATCCAACACTAGGACTCCTCGCAACGCCGTGACTACCGAGTCGAGGACTTGCAGATATAGGACTGGCTCGTTGATCTATTCGGGTACCTGTACTCATATGTCTATTACCGGGGTGTGGCGCAAACTGTGGCGGTAACTGAGGGGATTGGGCGGTGACAGGAGAACCGACGTGTCGAGGTACGGGTGATTGGTATTGCCGTTGGTACTGCTGCTGTTGGTGCTGTTGATGTGGGTGTTGGTGCTGAAACCGGTATTGTTGCTGTGGTTGGGGTTGGTGTTGAGGATGAGGCATACCCTGGGGCGGTACCGGTGTCATCGGCGTCATCTGCGGCGGCGGCGGGGTCTGATAGGACGGCGAAGGCATCGGCATCGGCGGCGGCATGTGCTGCCAATCTGGTTGTTGGACATATTGGCGTTGGGGAGTAGTATGTTGGGTGGGGTGTGGCATGGTATGCAAATTTACGCCGTTCTGCGGTGAGGGTTGGATAGGCCGCTGGCCGAGGGAGGGGTCGTACGAATGGAATTGGTAGTTCGCATTTTGCGATTGCTGCTGCGGGTGCGGGTGCGCATTGTACTGGTGAGGATGTTGCTGAGGTTGCGGTTGAGGCGGATAGGGAGTCGAGGCGAAAACAGCGTTTTGATAAGGCTGCTGAAACTGCGGGTTGCCCCAGGCGTCGTAGCCATTGTTCACGGCCTGAGGATATTGAGTTTGCTGTTGCTGGCCATTGAACCCCGAGCCTTGTCCATGGGGCATCGAGCCGCGATATGTCATAATTTCATTGCACTACGCGCTATACAAACCCATCCCTATGTTATATAGGGACGCAATTATATTACGTTGAAACCGGGAATTGCTGTTTTGTAGGGTTGATATCTTACGCCGGTAGGTATTGTTCGAGATGGTTAGTAGTAGAAGATCAGCTGCAGGCGCGCGCCGCGACGTTGTAAGTCCTAGAGTAACGTCACGTGATTGTCAAAGAGTTAGACTTGACTGACGTATGTATGTAGATAGGTACTTTCATCTTATCGTCATCTTATCTAAGTGCCTACCTACAATGTACATATGTACCCAAATACAAAGTACATCGAGTTTATTAGTTATAACTAACTCTTTGTAAATGTTCATAGTCTTCCTCTTATTAAAATTGACATAAAGGGTTATCATAAGCTCTTCTGTAAAGAGATTAAATGCTGCATGATATCGGTGGTCCTCGAGCCTTACACATGCACGACCTATTGACCACATACAGTTCCACCAGTCTATTAGGTTAGTGTGCTGTTATTCTAACATAATACCTAAGGTACCACCTACCATCGTCCGCTGCCAGGAACCTTATCCCCGATAAGATTTAATTGCGGCTCAAAAAGTCAATTCGAGAAAAAGGGACTTGGATGCTATTTTCAGAACACTAGGAGGTACCTAGGTACATACATAGGTAGGTACTAAATGTACTGGAAGTTTTCTTAATATACATACATACAATACCAATACCCAGTGAGTGCATTGTGTACAACGCTTTAACTGCATGCCTATGTAGTTGATTCCATTTCCCTTTCACTGTCGGGCGACGACATACTTAAGTAGGACCACTATTGCCCGATGCGGTATGAACCGAGGTAAGTGGAGGGCGACGGTAACACCGAATTGCCCCTGGACGATACTATTCTAATAACGGGGCGTTCTCATCTAATTTGCCATCATCACGTTATATACCAACTCATTTATGTATTCATATTTAGATCAATTCATAGATATATCCTTCTAATTCGGTTAAGACAAGATCATAACGTATATATAATCTAATTGTAATTCCCATTGGACCCTAAGCATAAGCCAATCTCTCCCCGGACTAAGACGGAGTGTACTAGCGGTCAAAATGGACTGGATCGGACGGGCCAGCATCAACTTCACAACCTCGCCGAAATCTCTCGGTCTGAAGGAGAAAGACGGCAAGGACACGGACTTGCTCAAAATATGCCAGTCCGCGGTCCCGCCATGCCAGCTAAACCCGCTGCTCTTCAACGGGCACGTCCAGACGATGTGGACGGCTACCAAAGCCCACGGCCCGCCGCTGCACTACAAGCGGAAGATCTTCGAGGCAGACCACGCCGAGTTCAACGGCAGCTTTGCCGTGGACTTCGCCGTGACGGATCCCTCGCTTAAGGGGGAGGCCGATGAGACTCTGCCCCCGCGGACGGCGTATTTCACCGAGGACGAGCTCTCGACTCAGGGGTCGGACGACGATAGGCCTATGCTTGTCGTTCTCCACGGCTTGTCGGGTGGCTCGCATGAGGTGTATCTCAGATATGCTATTGCACCGTTGATCGACAGCGGGAAGTGGGAGGCCTGCGTCGTTACTTCGAGGGGCTGTGCCAACAGCAAGATTACCACGGGATTGCTCTACAACGCGCGTGCTACCTGGGATGTCAGACAAGTAAGCCCTTCCCTCGTTGCCATATATACTCCTTAGTTATCTGCTCATATTAACGTATATCTACATAGACTATCAAATGGCTCACAAAAACATATCCTAACCGGCCTCTATTCGGCCTAGGCTTCTCACTCGGAGCCTGCATTCTCACAAACGTAAGCTACCCATTCATCTAAGAACCGAAACATTACTTAGAAAGAAGGCATATTAACCCACCATCAGTATCTCGGCGAGGAAGGCTCCGCAACCCCCCTCAAAGCCGCCGTCGTAGTAGCCAACCCCTGGGCTCTACACATATCATCCAAGGTGCTTCAAAGCTCATTCATCGGACACCACATCTACCAGCGTGTTCTTGGCGGTAAGTATCTAATCCCCAGCCCCCCCCCCCCAGACCAACCCCCAAAACTAAACCCACCCCAGACTCCATGAGAGATCTATCATCGCGGCACAAAGAAGAACTCGACAAGTACACCAACATCGACACGGACCACCTCCTCAGCCTCAAGTACCTCTACGAATTCGACAGAGCCTACCAGTGCCCGACCTGGGGATACCCCACAGAAGAGGCGTACTACAGAGACGCATCGAGCTCCGACTCGTTGCTAGCCGTGCGAATCCCGCTTCTCGCGCTCAACGCCGAGGACGACCCCATCGCCTCGCGCCTCGCGCTTCCGTACGCCGAGGCCTCGACGAATCCGTACACGGTGCTGTGTACTACTTCGCTCGGCGGACACTTGGGGTGGTTCGAGATTGGAGGGGGGCGATGGCATGGGAAGCCCGTGAGTCGTCTTAGTTCCCACTTTCGTGTGGGGTTTTACTAACGTGTGATAGGTTTGCAATTTCCTCAATCGTATGGCATTTGAGGTAGACTTGAACAGCATAAACGACAATGCCCACGGAGAACAAGCTTACGGAAATCCTAAACACGGGACTAGCTACGATCCTATACGGCGTAAGATGCATGTAAAACTTAACCGATAAGCGGGTTCTAGATGTATATTACATGGGATAGATGATAGAGGGTTAAGATTGCATAGATTTGTGATTGGGTATCTAGAAAGGAGCTGGCGCTATAGATGACATAGATCCATATCCCACCGAGCTCTGGTAGAGCTTATTAGATGGAAACCCCTTTAGGAACTACCGCTACCGTTATTGAGGCTTAGCTTTATGCGCCAATTGATGAACTCGTCCGTGAGAATGCTTCCGTGGCCGACTTCCTCAACCTTGAACACCTCAATAGCCCCGGAACGGGGTTGTCTGCTTATTCTCCAGACACCCTCATCGTTGATGGTGTTTCTCAGCCCTGCAGCTACATTAGTATATATATATAATAATCGTGTGTATTTCCTAGTCAGTCTTACACTCCAGGAAGGCGCTGGCGAAATTGATACACGCATTTGCGTTCCAGCTTCTAACACCTCGCTCCGCAGCCGTCTCAGGTATCTTGGCCGTCTGGATCTCTTCAAGCTTTGTGAGAATTCCCTGCTGTGAACGGAACCCCACGATTATCTTCGGCACGCCAAGTAGGAAGGATTGAATCCAGAACTTCATGAGCTTTCGCTCAAAGTTTTGCATGCTTCTGTTGTCACGAATTTCAACGCTGGTCTTCAACTCGATCCAGTTGATCGGTGCACCTTTCTCTTTTGGCTTGGAGTCCCAGACTAAATGCCCCTCGTGAGTATGTTTTAAACCTGATGCGGAGGTAAAGACTTACTGGCATCGACCTCCCCTCCCAGGCACAAGATCGTCTTGCCAATCCCGGTGCGAACTACAGAGCAATATTGAGCTTTATTATTAACGATTTTCTCATCTCTGTTCTCGATGGTTTCTCTCTCGACCTCTCCCCAGGGACGCGGGAGACAAGACAGTGTCTCGAATTTGTAACCTATGATAAGGTAAGCTAACGGCAGTTTTTGAATAGAGACTGCTTCCTTTACCCCAGTATGTCATGACATCTGGCGAGAACTGCTGTCCTCGCCGCGACTGTTGTTGCTGTTGCTGATGCTGCTCTTGTTGCTTAGCTTGACCATAAGCAAAATTCTCTTCGATGAAGCTATTGTGCTATTAGATTAGCGGAAATACCGCCGGTGACATTCTTTCAAGCATACACGCAATCCTTTAGCAAATAATCAGCCTGGATTGCATTATAGGGGGATGTTCGGACCGCTCACTTGGTAAAGGGTAGCATTCATCTCGAATCTGGATAGATGCTACGTTAGAATTCGAAGCTAGGTAACATCACTTATGAGTCTACGTACCCATCTCGGTCATCGAAGGGCGCCGACATGATCTACGAGGGTTAGATGTAATTTCCTAGTGAGTATATAGCCAGTCACGGCTAAGGCGTACCTTGGTCATCATACCGCGCCAAGTAACGACGTGCGCATCAATTTTCTTTCCTTCCTCTTCTTCATGAGCCATGATTGTCTTGAGAAGACTATCGATATGCTCATCTTTAGAGTTGTCATGCTTATCAAATCGATCGAAGCCTTTAGACAGATCGGCCCCGAGCGTAGGAGGATAGTACCACTGCATTGATCGATCATCTAGATGAAACTCGCGTTTGTCGTCGTAAGAGAAGTATGCTATTTCCTATAACAAAAAATTTAGTTGTTGGCGGTGACTTCCAAACATATAAGTATGAAGAAATTGGGATGTTAATGTTATTATAGTCGTATGGTCGAAGTATACATACTTTGGGCCTCTTTACAGCTTCGCTTTCGCCGTTGAAACGGCCGATGGGATGAATATTAAAAGCGTTTGCCATGGTAGGGAGTACCACGGTATAATGTGCTAAGCTAATTTTTGAGGATGTAGTGAAGAGCTGGATATTGATATTGATATTGATATTGATAATGGAAGGTAGTTTGTAGGAATGGAAAGTCAAGGCCTTCATTAAAGAGTATCTCAAAGGTAGGAGCTATATAATAAATATAAATCGAGACAAGCAGACAAGGTAACAAACGCCCATGCAGCCATGCCACTTGTAACAGGGTTACCCCACAATGCCCAAGCTACCTAAGGTTAGACAGGGGTAGCTACCTACCTAATAATGGAACCTGGCAACCTGGTCCCTGCTTTGACTTTATTCTTTATTTCTTGTCGAATGTCAACATATGATAAGATACCTATCCATCCATTTTAGCCATTGTTTCTTCATTAACATATAACATAACAGCAACACATTAAGTGCCATCAGCATAATTAATATTGCTTTTTCTCTTCTACTCTTCCAATCCCGATGAAGAAAATAAACAAGACTCTTCATTCTTAATTAAACAATTAGATATGGCCGACCGTCCACCCCCTCACGCTCGCCCGGGCACTAATAGAACCGCGCGCACGAATACAGCGGGCATACGGCGCAACCTATTCCAAAGCCAACTTACTCGCCGCCCAACGCCCACAGCCTCCTCGCAATCTTCTAATAACTCCGCCGAGACATTACGTCTCGGAGACGTCGAAGTGCTATCCGATACCTCCGACATCGTTGTCCGCGACAAGAACGGCGAGTTCGACGTTGGTGATCCGCCTACACCCCCTCTGGACGATTCGGAGGAGGGCGGTGCATTGGATGATGCGCAGGAGAGCGAGCGTACGTAGAACACCATATTGAGCATATCAGGTTGGCAGGGTAGTGTCTTGTGATGCGCGGCTACTAACGCAATGTATCTACAGGCGAGAGACAACGATTGGCAGAAGCAGTCAAGCACTACCAAATAAACCACAACCGCACTCCAGCGCAACCCGAAGGTAAGACTATGCGACTAGCCTCTAAGCGAACAACCTCCAGGTTTACCTAATGCTAACAAGAAAAAGAGGTTCTAGAGACACTCCGAGCCAGCATGAGAGCCAAGGTAGCAGCCCTAGCCGAAGACAACTGGATGTACGAGCCGGAAGAGCAGCATCGACCGCAATGATATTCATCGTGAATATCTAGCTACGACAATTATACGGCTATCAGGACTCTAAACAGTTATCTAATCTAATCTAATCCCTCAGCGGCCGGCATCGACGTAGGACCCTTCACGGCCGGCCTCTTCGCGCCTCCGCCCGCCGCAGCGCCACCCCCACCACTGCCGCCAAAGAAGCCGCTCATCATGTCCATCAGCGGGTTGCTCTGTCGCGGCTTCTGGATGCCGAAGTACATCTCGGCGATGATCTCCAAGGATTCGTGCCACGACTCGACTTCGGCTAGGAGGGTAGAATATTTGCTGTGAAGTTGTTTGTATAAGTCCGGATTAGCTCGCTGGACCGCGAGTAGCAGGAGCCCTAGGAAATTAAGGAGGGGTATGCTGGGGTACACTCGAATGTCGACGCTATTGCTGCTGACATCCTGGACGTTAAGCTGGCCTTGCTTGTCCTGGCTGAGGGCGCTGGTGAATAGTCGGTAGCATGCATTCGCCGATCGGATGTTGCCCGTGAGAAGATACGGCAGCACTCCCCGCGCAGCGTATAAAGCGGCCGTATGTGCATCGTCCTCCTTAAACCACTCGTATTCTAAGCGAGCCAACACCTCGGCCGAGTCCTTCGTTCCAAGAAGCAGATGTCTCTCCGCATCGTACGGTTCGTGCTCTTCCGCATATAGCGAGCCCGCAACATGATGCAGCTCGGGGTCGCCCGCGGGGTACTCGCCGAATTTGGAGGACCATCTAGACAGACGTTAGTTAGTATTGTAGACAGCTTAACGCAACGCTTAGCCAAACAAGAGCAACGTACGTTATGATCTCCCCAATATACTTCTTGCGTGTGGGTTCCTCGCTGTTGAACAAGCGCAAACACGTGAGCAATCGACCTTTGGTAACAGCATCGGGCTTCAGCTCCGCTTGTTTGTAGGTGTCGACCAGCAGCACGCAGAGATCGCCACCGCTTCCGCCCTGGCCTGCCTTCAGAAGCGATTGTGCAACATTGTAGAGAATATTTATAGCGGCATCCCAGTTGGCGGCTTTGGTATATCGGGCTGCTACGACGCGAGTCTGCTGCTGGGCTTCGTAGAACTGCCCCTCACTGATCCGCTGCTGTAGGCGAGCAATGATCTTCTCGATCTTGTCGCCTTTGGCGCTCATGGTTTATGTATGATGTGTATAGCGGAGAATGCAGAAAATCGGAATATGTGGTAGAGGAGTGTGTGAGGGAGAGAGGTCAAGGGAAAGAGAAGCTGGCGGAATACATCGTGACGTTTAAGTTAGGTACCTCATGGAACTTGAGTGCTAAGATTAACCCTGGAAAGACTTAGAACGCCCGATTTGTGGCCCAAGCTCTGCCCCGCGGATACATACCTACCTAGGTTAGGTAGTAGATCTAAGTGGCTGGTGTACATAAGTTGAGCCACCACTATTAGAGGTAGAGTTCCATACATATTGAGGTCTTTTCAAATATCTTGTTCCAACTTATATGAGTTAGCTAAGCTATGAATATGAGATGTCTATTTTCATTTATGCCTTATAATCAAAATGAACTCATTAGATCTCATATGAATATATAATATACGGATCCCGAAAGCAAACAAAAAAGAACCCCCAAGTTCAAAGAAAACGATAACTACATGTAGTAAAAAGGGCAAAAAATAGAGTTGGTCTCTAATGGGTGTCAATCGTTAGATTGCACTAACCGTGAATCGAACACGGGGCCAGAGTAAGTATCTTCAAAGATGGGAAACTCCGAGGTTACCACTACCCCATTAGTGCCTGTGACGAACAGCTTGCTTTATTGTCTTAAGTAACATGCTCCATAATCCAAACTCTTTTCCCCTCCCTTGTCCTAGGTACCCTCCTCCCAAGTAGTCGGGATTTGGCTATAATAGGAAGTAAATCCATAAGAATAGGACAATACTGTTCGTAACCCTGGATGATGTGAACTTCGCTTGCGCTCCTAAAGATATCTATCTATCCGAGAATATAGTCATACACAGTTAGGTGACAATGTGACTGCATATACGCCGTATTCAGGGTTACCAAGTGGGCTTCCATGCGTATCAGCCCGTCTATGACTCCTCGCAACTGAGGTATAAAAGGTATCCATTCATTCCTGTCTCGAAATCGTAGTTTATAGTTTATACTCATCGGAGTCAAAAATATCATTCACTTGCTATATATTATCATCAATTTTTCACATCTCAAAATGCTTGCTGGTCGCTTTATTGCAACAGCCCGCAGTAGCGCGAGCGCTGTAAGAGGACGACGACGCATTGCGTACTATTATCCTTACGGGCCCACATCCAACTCGCATCTATCGAACCAATCAACTCAAATTACCGCTTCCAAGTTCTCGACTTCGAGATCCGGCTTTTCAACTAAGAAGCCTGCCAACAACCCTTCGAAGCAACAGCAGCCCGATGAAATCCCACCCGCGGGCTTCAGCTTTGAAGGATTGGGCATGACCCGAAGGACCAAGATCGCTGTCATTATTATCATAAGCATATTCGCTACGATGGAGACTATTTTCTATATCAGGTGGATTTGGGTTTGGTACTCAGGTACTGAGAACGATGAGACAGCGGAAAGCAAGGCTTGAGCCCAACTTTGCTGTCTCGTTTGGCTGCAATAAGCCGAGAGACTTTTTCTGTCGCGCAGAGTACTACCTTGTATTATTATTATTATTATTATTTATTATTATTATACTAATGTCTCTGAGGAGACCAATTCGCCGCTCAATTCAAACCAGTTCAGCCCTTGCACTACTATCCGGGGTGATGGGGGGTTTTAAGCGAACTTGGAACTTGGAACTTGGAGAGCTCGATGTTTGTTTGCACGCCTCGGGAGGTCTCCATCGGACGTTCGTTCGAGTTTGACTTGGCTTGTCGGGTGCTGTCGCGTTCAGCCGTTGCACCGCTGCTTGCGCCATCTGGAGCCCTATTAATAAGCCTTATACATACATAGGCTCTACGAAATTAGCTATGGGGAAGCCTTAGATGCTAGCGTTATGCGTGGTGGTGGTGAGGGTACTGCGCGATGCTAAGGGGAGAAGGTTACAACATGCCTCGACGCGTTCAAATTTCTTGGTCATGTATTTCATATGTCGTCTAATATAACAGAGAATTCAAGTTAACATAGAGAAGGTGACGGGAAGGGTGTTCATCAATGCAACTAAAATAAGACCATGATTCCAACTTCTTTAGGGGGTATACGTATGCACCGCCACTTCGCTGTTAAGAGTCGAGACCTTCTTACACCCTTGTCTGTCTAAATTCGGGGTCGACTTCCGTCTCAATTGGTCCGTAACTAGTATTATCCCTGTTGTTTTTGCCTTGTTTTCGGGTGTGCTACGAACAGTTTTAGCCACATAAAGTCAAGCCACTTAGATCCCTTAAAACGAAGTATAATTTAAATAAGATCTCTCGGAAGCGATGGGGTGGCATGAAGATAATATCAAGTAATGATTTTGATTTCTCGTCAGTGATTTATTCATGCGTCTCTCGTTATTCGTCTTTTTATTCCTTCGTTGCCTCGATCGATGTTGTGTTGCTTTTTTGACGTGATACTCGTGTATATTGGGATAGTAATTTATACTTGAAAATGGCTGCTGCTGAGGTTGAAGAGGCTGTCCCCGCTGGCGGTGCTGGTGAAATTAAACCCTACAGAATACATGTGAGCCACTTACGATCCAAATGGATCTTATCGAATCTCAATCAAATCGGAAAGTGTGGCTGACACGATGTTCATAGGTATCATCAAAATATCTAGACCTCACAAAACAAAAACTTGAAGTTACCCGATTACCTCATGAGTTTTCGGAACCGAAATCGAAAGATTGGTGGGAGCCAAAGTCTCAAATAGAACCGCTGATTGACTTCTGGTTAGTCTTCAACTCCTTTAGCTGAGATTTGAAGGAATGCACTTATACACATACACCTTGTGTATCCCAAATGCCTATGCCTTGTATTAACAGCATCAATAAAACTAATAAATAAATAAATAGGTTGGAGCAGTATTCGTGGAGAGTGCAAGAAGATCTCTTGAATACTGAGTTGCCTCAATTTCGCACTGAGTTTTCGATACCTTCATCTGAAGCAATCGTCAGGATTAACTTCATTCATGCTCGCTCTTCTTATTCAAATGCGATACCCCTTCTTTTGATACCCCCATTCCCTTTCTCAAACCTCTCTTTCGGACACCTCGTCAAGTATTTTACAGAACCGGAAGATGTCGAGAATAATCAGCCCTTCCACCTAGTTATACCTGCTCTACCGGGCTTGGGTTTCAGTGACGCGCTTCCGAATAATATCCCGATGATCTCATCCACAGCAGAAATCTTGAATTCGCTAATGAGCCGGCTTTCATATCCTCATTACTTGATAACGAATGCAAGTTCCGGAGTCAATTCGCCTGCAGAAATCGACTTTAAAATTACCAATTGTCTGGTAACTTATTATTCCGATTCTTGCCTAGGTGCTCACTTGATATCACCCCCTTTGGCACGACCGAAGCTGCGGGAAGCACCGGTCGAGTGGGCAAAATGGTCCGTTGCGAGTTTATTTCGTGCCCCTATTCTTGGGTACCGTAGAGAGGATTTCTCTGCTCTTAAACGAAACAACCTTGCTCGTTCGTCGAAGAAAACACCAACTCCCGCTCAGTTCGGATTAAATCAATTGGGTCTTCGCGAGCCAAACACCTTGGCATATGCACTGTGTGACTCGCCAACGGGTCTGTTGGTCTTCGTGCTGAAGAGTCTCCGCTTGCTTGATCCCAAGAAAGAATTTGCACCTACAGAAGTGATCAACTTCACTCAACTTTCTTGGCTCCCTGGTCCAGAGTCAGCCATGAGGTTCTGGGCACATTGCGCACGGTATCCGGAAGTGGATAAGAAAATTCGCTCACGACCGAAAGTCGGAATCACGGTATTTCTAGGCGATGAACCTAGCACGAACGAGGACACGGAAGCAGAGGCTATCGAGCTCATGCAGGACGAGGCAAAGGACTGCTATATGTGTCCTAGTTGGGCCAAGGCGAAATACAATGTAGTCCATGTCAACCGTGCGACAGGAAGATCGGGGCTCCTAGCTTGGGATCGACCCGAAATCATTGCTACAGGTGTAAGGGGGGTAGCCGCTTCGATTTTGCGGTCGGATTCTCGATTACGGCCTACGGCGTCACCGATACCAGCGCTAGCGGTAGCCGATCTAGAGCGAGTGGTAGTTCACGACGACACTACTGGTGAGCAACCATCATCTCCGCCGACGCAACCAGCCCCAACACTTCTAGCACCGACAAGGGCCGAAGAGCGCAACCAACCACATAGAGAAGTCAGTGATGAGACGGCTGTAGGAAGTAATGAGGATATCCCTGGAAAAACTCATTCCCCGGCTCCAAAGGTACTAAGTCTAGCGCATCTTGCACCACCGACCGATGAGCGAGAACACCCGCGCCGAGAGGCGAGCGATGACACGGCTGTAGAACAGCTTAACAACTAAAGACAATAACCACTGTACAACACGACTTGATGTTTACTTTGTTACGGCTATCATGTAAAAGGGTTGAGGGGGGTGAGGAAGCGAGGGAGTAACTAATGGCGCGTATATACCTGTTTGTTTTCCTTAATTATTGATGATACCTTGTTAATGAGATTAATAAGAATGATGGGTATTAGAAAGGCATTTAGCGGCACGTTCTAATGTTTGTAGGATTAATGGCCTATAAGTGCATATGGCTGAAGGAAAGCATCTCAAACAAAAGATAGGTAACTAAATTAATATAACTACCTCCTAGACAGCTAGAATACATAGTATAAAATATAGATACAACATCAAATATTCTTGATTCATGTCATTGATAACCGTAGGTTAGATAATCGGCCTATAAGTTAATGTCGATAAGGAGCTTTATCGCTGATAACAACTCAACTAGCACCACAATCAGGTTTCATATCTGGGTCCGTGAATGGGTACTTAGGTACCTAACCTATACCTAGGTACCTACCCCGTATATGAGATGTACATCTCACGGTACGTAGCGCGTTTGAAGTTAACAGAATGCAACGCAGCAAATCGCAAGCCGCAACTCTAATCCATGACCAGATTCTAGACTTGGATCAGAGTCGCCAAAGTTGTAATACCATAACAGCAAATCTTCAACCCCGGCTTTTCCTCAAGAGCAGAACTGGGTTGCATAAATCCATTTTCCGATTCAACCAACGTCGCTCGATGTAGACATGGTATGACTTCATCGCAATGGGTGCCAGCGACTCCAAGCTAGTATTCAAAAAGGGCATCTTCAGGTTGTCAGAAGAGCGACATATACCTGCTGATGACCCATATTGGACCTCTGTTAGTAGTAGTAGTCCTATATCCTTACTTAGCTTTCTTTCTTCTCTAATCCTTCACAGTTCTGGGAGCTCCCGGAGTCCTCCGAGGACATATTTAGTCTCTTTGCGCCTGCAGATATTCGTCGAACTCGTGATAGAGCAATTGAGAACCTAGAAACCCTTATACTTGCTGTGACGTCTCGCCTTTTCATATTGCGACACCATCCCTCATTCCCCGACCCCGAGTTCGCACCCGAGCGCGATGCCCTGAATTGTATCCGTATCCTTACCCGCGTTCTGCCCTACCTGTACGAAGTAGACCACCTGCAAGGCTGGGAAGATAAGTTCTTCTGGGGTACCAGACGAAAGCGAACGAGGCGAGCTACTATAGCGAACGAGGTGCTTTTCGATGAAGCCGAGGAAGAAGCGAAGCCGCTCCCTGTTGACGAGTTCGAGGAGGCAAAACCCTTAGCAGAGGAACTTATCGATACTCTCATCGACCTCCTTTTCTTCTCCGACCTGACAGTTCCTAAGCAGCCCCATGGCAAGCCAAAGGTTACCTATGCCATCTGGCAGAGCGGCGTGGGCTGCAACACAGCTGTACCTACGACAAAGGAGTACGAGAGTAATCGATGCGAGATCCTACGCCTTCTTCTGACTCTGGCAGGTCAGAGCATGTATATGTCCCCCAGCATACTACCAACTAGAGGGACTAGGTCTCTGACATATATCTGCACATGCCCGGATAAGCAAGTCGTCTTATCCGTCTTGTGTTCCCTATTGAATACTGTAAGATCCGCTCTTAATAAAGCATATTATCCAGATACTAATTTTCCCAGACCCTCAAATACAATCCAGCAAGCTGGCGTGTGCCCTATAACACTCTTATGTTCAAGGATCCAAAGGAGATACTCATCGCCTATACCTTACAGTTCCTGCTAGTCACCCTTATTTACCCAATACCCGAGCCCGCTACTGGCTCTGCGCCCAAGAATTATTATCGCCATTTCCTCGGAAGACTGCATCGTCCTCAGGATTTCCAATTCATTGTTGATGGTATGACACGGATACTCAATCAGCCTATTCAGGCCAACATCTCGTACATTCCCGGGACCCAAAATACGACTAGATTCTCTCCCGAGATAATAATGCTCTTCTGGGAAATCACCCAATGCAACAAACGATTTAGATCTTTTATGATCGATACCCAGAGAGCACACGACTTTGTTATCCTCCTCCTTTTCTATGCCACCGAGTATAAGACAGATGCCTCAAAACAAGGTGTCGTACGAATGTGCGCATTCTTGCTACAGACGTTGAGTGTCGAGAAGAACTTTGGCGTCAATCTTAACAAGCACTTCGAAGGACAGGAAACATTGCCAGTTGTGATTCGAATCCCTGGGTTTAAAGGCACATACGCCGATTTCTTGATACAGGTAAGCAGATTGTATACTCTTAAGAGTGATTTTGGCTAACTCTCATGAAGTCCATATACAACCTCATCACAAGAAGTCAGGGCAAGCTTTCTGCCATATACCCGGCGCTACTCGCCGTGATCAACAACATAGCTGCTTATCTAGAGGGCATCAACGGCACGACGAGTTCAAAACTGCTACAGTTGTTCAATTCGATGTCCTCCCCCTCGTTTCTTCTTGCGAATGATAGCAATCACGATCTCCTCGCATCTCTCCTGGAGTCAGTGAACGCTCTGATTGAGCATCAATACAAGAGTCGGTAGCTTATCAATCCATACTATCAGAGCTTGCTAACAGGAAATACAGAGAATCCTCACTTTATCTACCTAATATTGAAGAATAGAAAACGCTTTGAGGCGTTACGAACTTTCACGCTTGAGAGTGGTCAAGAGGAACTCGAGCGAAGAAATCGTCGAAGGAAAGAAACTGGGCAGTCATTAGACCCATTGGATGCAAGCTCGAGGCGTAGTTCCGTCGAGAGTCTACGCAGCCCCGTTACAACACAACCAAGAACACCAACGCTAAGCAATGTGCCAGAGGAGGATACGACGTTTGCTATCGGCGACGCCGAGGATGATAGCGATGAGGAGGACGATAACCGACCGACACCGGCGCAATCGAGCCCGAGCGAGAATCCTTCTCGGGCCTCTTCTGTTGCCGATGTAGAAGATGCAGTACCAACGCAATTAAGGGGAATGTCGGAGAAAGCTAGGGGGAAAATGCCTGCGGGGGTGCCGACGTTCTCTCGGCAGAATAGCGTGACGAGTCTCAGTAGCTATTCGGCAGCCGGTCAATCTGCACCTGGTATTTTCGAGCCCTCGGCGGAATGGATCGAGAGTTGGCTTCCCGAGCTTCCTCTCCATACGATCCTCACCGTCATCCAGCAATTGACCGTGTTAATCAATCGGCAAGGACTGACGGCAGAGGTACCATCATCCGCAACCTTGAAGGCTATTCAAGAGGCAGATTTGGTCGGTGTAGAACCTTCCCCGGTTAGAGTGCATTCATTCGAGTGGTCGCCCCTAGCTCTAGGCTGGTACGAATCGCTGGTTTGGAGCTTCGTGTTCGCAAGCGAGATGCAAGTCTCCAAGGGCACCGTAGGCGTGTGGAACGGAACGGCGATCAAGTTGTTTAAGGTGCAGGAAACTGCCGCCCAAGGCCCGACCTTAACATCTCCCCGAGGAGCGGTAGATGCCGTGGGAAACAATATCGTGTCGAGGATCGGGTCTATCAATCTGCGAGGTGCGCAGGCGTCCCCATCCTCTCCTGGGCTTCCGCCACAGCGCAATGCGTAGGGGTTTGCGTGGTTATAGCGATAGAGAGCGGATCAGCTTGACTATGTACGTATCGTAGATCGAATATTTACCATACTCTATAAATATGTCGCCTAGGGCATTGGTTTAGTGTTTAATTTATATCAGTTCTCTAGACTCTAGGAAGGAATTTAATGTATGGCTTATTTAACCCCGAGTCGCTTGGCGGTTGATGATAGAGTAGAGTCTACGATTTTATCACGAGCCGTAAGTTACTTATACCCAAGTTCTAGTTGTAAGTCCTAGTCGTGACCTGGCGTAGTAATCATGAACAAAAATACTCTTATAATGCTCTTGATAAATCTCCTTAATATAAATATATAAGGACATGGCTTCTGACTTGCTCCAAGTCACAACTGCTGTGCTCCGTGGGGAATAGGTACACCAATTATCCAACCAGAGAGCCGAGCACCGCTTCTCCCGGCAAGGCGGTCCGCGGGGGGTTTAAAGCGGGAGCGCCTCCAATTCGTCGTTTTCGAGTTCTTCCGACCTTGAACCGACGGGAGCTCAGGGATGCGGAAGGGAGGAATTGTAGGCCAGGGGTTTTTATATATATAAATAAATGAAAGTAGGCGCCTTCTTCGGCGGCGATTCTCATTGATACGGTGATAGATGGGACAGGTCCTCCAGAGACAGACTATCCCGTCTATCTTTCTTAGTTATAGACTATGTAGTTAACTACCTAGGTAACTAACTATAACTTATAGCTAACTTTCTTTACCAAACACACGATGTCAACGATACAGACCTCGCTCGCCGACGCCGAGGCGTATCCCATGACGGAGCTCCGCCGTCCGCCGTCCAAAGACGTGGAAGACGCGCCGGCCGATGCGGATATCGCCAGAAGCGAGCCCGCGACGCCGTATCTAAAGCTGGTCGTTGCGGGGTACTCGTTCTTCTGCGCCGGGGTCAACGACGGCACGCTTGGGCCTTTGATCCCGTATATTATTTCCAGCTTTGGAATTGGGACGGGCGAGATCGCTATCATGTAAGTGACGCCTCTTATTCTATAGCCAGCCACGTATGAGTGCCGCAAGTCGTTTAGCAAGCCGGGCCAGGTGCTAACCAACATCTAGCTACGGAACGACCTTCGCGGGCTGGCTCCTAGCCGCCGTTACCAACCCCATCATGACGGCTCACATGACTCTCGGGCAGCTCCTCGGCGTCGGCGCCGTGCTGCAGCTACTGGCGCATTGTTTGCGGCCGTGGAGCCCGCTGCCCCTTTTCTGCATCACGTTCTTCCTGCAAGCGCTCGGCATGGCGTACCAGGACTCGCACTCGAACACGTTCGTCAGCGGGCTCAAGAACGTGCCGCATCGCTGGCTTAGCTTTATACACGCGTATGTGCCTAACGTCGAAACTAACTTACCTGCAGCTCCGCCCTTCCCTTCACTTCGCTTCACTTGGTTACATGATACTGCGTTCTTTGCGGAGTTCTTGATAACTACCCAGTTAGACTTAATTATTAGTTAAGAAATAAATAGTTGCCCAACCTACTAACTTCTCCTGCCCAGATGCTACGCCCTAGGCTGCTTCATCGGCCCGCTCGTCGCCACCGCCATCGCCACGAGCGCCAACACCATGGCCATCGACGGCTGGAAGCGCGTGTACTTGGTTTTAATCGGGATCTCGGTGCTGAACGTCGGCGGCGTGGTCGTCGCCTTCCGGGACTCACTCTGGAGCCGGTTGAACAACGCTACCATCATCACCACCACCACCACCACCACCACCAGCGCAGACACAACCCCACGACAGAAACGCAACCGCGCCGCCATGACGGACATGGCCCGCCTGCTCAAGTCCAAGACCCTCTGGCTGATCAGCATGTTCTACTTCTTCGAGCTAGGCGCCAACTTCACGGCCGGCGGCTGGGTCGTCGAGTTCTTGACTACCGTGCGGGGCGGCAGCCTCTCGGCGATTGGGTACGTGCCGACTGGGTTTTACGGCGGGATGTTAGCGGGCAGGCTGCTGTTGGCCGAGCCGACGTTTCGGTACGGCGAGCAGCGCATGTTGTTGGTGTATAGCGTGCTGTGCGTTGCGCTGCAGCTTGGGTTCTGGCTGCAGCCGAATATTGTTGGGAGCGCTGTGGCGCTGAGTTTTATCGGGTTCTTTACTGGGCCGTTTTTTGCTACTGTGAGTGTTGCTGCTTCTGAGGACTTACTTTTTCTTTTTCTTTTTCTTTTTCTCTTTCTCTTTCTCTTTCTCTTTCTCTTTCTCTTTCTCTTTCTCTTTCTCTTTCTCTTAGACGATTGGTCATGATGGTATATTGTTCTGACTATTAGCCGGTTTACTACTAACCTGCTTTCCCTCTCTCTAGGGCATGTCAGTCGCTTCGAAACTCTTCCCTCGGGAATCACAGCCCGCCGCTCTGGGTAAGACAGGCCCCTTTATACGTAGCGGTTTATGCTGTTGATGGCCTAGAGACTAACAGCCTACTCTCAGGTTTTATCTTCGTACTCGCGCAAGCCGGAGGCGCCCTATTCCCTTCCATTACGGGGTTGATAGCGACGAACGCAGGCGTAGCTGTATTGCAGCCCATCGTATTAGTGCTGTTCGTTGTCGGCGGAATTAGCTGGTGGCTCGTGCCGAAGGTACCGCGACGAAACGAATAGGATCACATTGATAGATTCTTCTACGAATATTGATACTCGAAGAACGTAGGATGTAGCCGACGAGCATAGGAGGTCAAGGAGTATATATAGCCGATAACGCCTTAGGACTAGTTTTAAGCTGCATATATACATACCGATTTTTACATTAAGATGAATATAGACTAATTATGACCTTATTAATATAGTCCTCTATAATTAATAGAATGGCCTATAATAAACGATCAGTATAAATTCGATAGTTACTAAAATAAGTGTATAACTGTTTTGAATGTGAGAGATGCCAAAAAGTTACGCACAGTAAAAAACACTGTACAATACAAATTCGGCAGCCGTTAGCAGCCGCTAGTAGCCGCTAGCAGCCGCTAGCAGCCGACAAGCAGCCCACTTATTCCTACTTAAACCGCCGAAAATTTCTGCACTTTTTTTCTTCTCTTTCCATCCAACTTCTTTACTCGCGTCACGACTAGAAATAAGAATTCCCCCAGTGTGCAGAAACAGCCAGTCCCATCCATCCCGTCGAAACGGCATCACGCTGCTACATCGCATTAGGTATAGCTACAACATGCCCATCTCCAGGGAGAACAAGCAAAGTTTCGGCGGGCATTCGCGGTAGGTAGGCGAGCGCGGTGTATCGTATCGATCAGAGGCGCCGGGAAGTTCCAGGTCGAGGGGTCGTGCAAAAGAAGCACGGGATGCCGGGACAAGAGAGGTAGGTATATATACACATACCAGCTTCTAAATATGCTAGAGCTTGCCGTCTCGATATACAAACAGCGAGCAAGTGTGGACAGTGAAGCAAGATTGAACAACATGCGTCGTCCTATTTCTATAGGCCGGCGTTCCGCAAGTTGCTTAATTGGCGTCTAGCACGTTGAAGGTGGGCTGAGGCTTAGTGCTTGCTGGAGAAATCCCCGTTTTCCTTTTTTGTGTAGTTGGTTGGGTGATTCGCTGGGTTTAGAGGAGATACAGACCTAGGAATAACTAACTGGTAGTAATATGTCATGAGGTTATGTTCAGATTGTCAGATATATTTATTTATTATAAGTGATGACTGCTCTGCTTAGGAACCCTAACGTGCAGTGCACATGCTTCCGTAACTATATCGCTCGTTCGGCTTCTAAATACAACCCTATCCCTCTCCCTCCCCCAGTGACAAGCACGTATTCGTTCCGTGTTTAGATCTTACTATCGGGTGGTGGTCTAGGTTCGTCAGCATCGATGAATATCTTAGTTACCACCCAGACCAACAACAGCGCTTATTACTTACTCACTTGAAGTTATTCTTCATAGTCCGCAGCTGATCCATAACCTCCACGGGATCCGTCTTGCCGGTAGCCTTCTGGACCTCGGGATCCTTCGCGATCGTCAGCGTTTTATCATCACGTCGTCCTCGGGTCGTCATCGCTTACCTCTACTCGCATGAACACGTTGTGCAGCTATGTCAAATCCGTTAGCTCCAACTCTTCGATTACAATCGAGATAAAAAGCTTTACCTTCTCGTCGCCGATTGTAAATTTCCCTTGCGTTTCCTTATTGCTCTCCGCGAACGCCTGTAGTTTCTTGATAGCCTCGTTCTGCAGAACCGAGACGCCGAATTTGACGTTCGACTTGGTATACTCGTGACCGGGCTATTCAATATTAGTACAGGTGGAATATTTAGTAAGCTCCCCTGTCGTAGAATAGATGAATACTTACGTAGACTTTGGTATCATCCGGGAGGGAAGCCAGCGTCTTGTTCAGGGCCGTATGCATCTCCTCGGCATTACCTTCAAAGAACCTTCCGCAACCTACGCCTTGTTAGCCCCGAGTTTTCCAGGCCTGTCGTAGACTGCGAAGCAATGCGTATGCTCACCTGCGTGGAATAGGGTATCTCCGGTGAAGACGGCCTTATCGTCACCGTCCTTTACATACCAGCAGATGCTGTCCTGCGTGTGGCACGGCGTGTAAAGGCCTTTGATATCAATACTCCCGAGCTTGAATACCTTGCCGTTCTCAGGGGTCTGTGTGACGTTCTGGCAGTCCTTACCCCCGATGATAGGGAGATTTGGAGTGCCTAGATCACTTTTCTACGTAGACGTTCGGATTAGAATATTGCGTGCCATATGAAAATATTGTATAAATGTATATGATACATAAATACGAGAAGATACAGTGTAAACTAACAAGCTTATCGTTTCCACCCGCATGGTCCCAATGGCTATGAGCGTTGTTAGCGCCAGAAGAACTAGAAGTTGTATTGAAATATAATATACTCACTGGTGCGTGTTAACAATAGCTGTAAGATTGATCTTGCCATCCTGAATAGCCTTCTTCAAGACGGGCGTAACCCTGAATCTCCAGGTTAGACTGCACTTACTGTGGGAGGTGTGCATATCATGAGCTCTAACTCACTCTTCGGGATGCGCGGGGTCGATAATGACGGCGTCTTTGGACTTGTCATCGACGAGAAGATAGGCGTAGTTGTCGCTCGTCCCCGTCCCTATAAATGTCTTAGTCCTGAGCCCCTATGGCCGCTGCGTATAAGTAGGCAAGGTACAGATAGTAGGTTTGACTTACACATAGGAATTGATTGGATCTGCATTTTGCGGGTGAAGGCAAGCTACGGCGGAGTCAACAGCGAGTCCCTTGATGGCAACAAGTGCGTCTGGTAACTTACAGCCGCGGTCGAGGTGCCTATTCTCCGGGTAGCTAGTAGAGGTCTTGTTCTTGCAAGGTAATTCATGAGGCGGGAAAGTATGCGGCTATGGTTCGTGATCCGACTAATACTCCGATGCTTACAAACGAATTTGGAGATTCGTAGCTATAAACCCGACGATATCCATGACGTCGATTCGCTACTGGACGGCCCGGCACGAAGCTATGAGTTGAATGAGACCAGCTGGCAGGTAGTGTCAAGATTCTTGATAACCTATCAGGTTAATTGCATTTGTCACAAATTATAGAACATTCGGCTTATGAAGTTCAACTCAACTACTATCTTATAGATTATGTAGTATATACCCTATCGTAACTGTATGAATAATATAGTTGAGAATGTTATCTCAATTACTACGCAGATATAATATCCTCAATAATGTAAAAATGCCCTACCTACACAACCCCAATCGGCTTCGGTTTCCAAGGGCCTTCATATCTCGACCACCCCCTTACCTGACTCGACGGCATCTGTATAGGTATTTCAACAGCTTCAGGTTTGCTACCAACACCCTCTACCGCCTCGAGCTCCTCATCCAACGCCTGTATATCGGCCTTAACGTCACCCAACGTCCTCGCAGCAGCCACATTTTCCGCGTCTTTCTTCACAATCGACGAAGACGTAAAGTCTCCGTCGAGTATAGCCTGCGACAACCGTAGACACCGGGAGATGATCTTGGGGTCCTCGGACGAATCCTCAATTTCGGCCAAGTTCTGCAGCACGATTGTCTCGTCCCACTGCTTTAACTGCTTCTGCAGCGTCTTCGCTTGTACCGTCGAGTCCTCATCCAGATACCTTAATAATAAACCCCGGCAGGCATTCGGCTCATCTTCACCAGCGCTGCCGTCCTCGCCCGGCAGATTCTTCCAGTAGTAGTCCCATATCCAGGCCAGCGCCTTCTTCGCCGCAGTCCTGAGCTTCGATAGAGAAGGCAGCTGCTCATGCGTAGCTTGGTGCCGCAGCTCGACAAAAGTCGCCGGCAACCCGATCGTTTTGGCGATCGAGTACATGCTCATCTTGCGCTGCTTGTCCTGCTGGCTGTCTAGCAGGCCGGTTACAAAGCTATAATTAGACAGGTCGCCGTTAGCCGGATATATTTCGACAGCCCAAACCCAATTATCAAGTACAATGGGTACAATGGCGTATGTAGCCTAACTAGCCGGGCTGAGTCGAACGAGCACGGCAGCTAAACTACCGCCCCTACCACGTGAGCCATCACGAGTCCAGGTTGCCTTCTCCGGATACTCCGAACAAGCCCACTAACGACCTAGGAACAACTATGCAGGAAATGAGGGACGCTATACGTACCGACTAAAAGCCGCGGCGTACGCGGCGCGAATAGCGTACGACGAAGTAGCCCTTGTCTCGCGGACGTCGCTCAGGAGGGCGGCGACGAGCAGGGCGGTAGACTCGACCAAGTGGGGACAGCCGCCGCGCTGCATCCACATGGAGACGCGCGACACGGCGTGCTGCTTCGCGGCCTCCTCGGCTCTCCTTTTCTCACCACCACCATGCTCCTCGTCACGGGAATCGGCTGTACTGCCAGTTCCAGCTGGGTAAAACTGCCGACGAACACGCAGCAGCTCGCCGCGGTCCCGCCAGGGCGTGTGGATATACTGCACCATGATATATACTATACCTACCTATGTATGTATGATCCGACGGAACAACAGCAGCCACAAGTAGGTGGACGAATCAGTCAAGTCGTCTAGGCTCTAACCGACAAGACTTGCCGTTGCGGCAGCAGGGGGGGGGGGGTGTTGTAATTTAAACCAGGGCAATCTTTTGGAATAACCAGTTTTAAGAGTTTGGCCGCAGAGAATAATAAGTACATGGAAGTAAGTATTAAACCTTGAAGTCTCGAGTCATTGGATGGAATAAAAATAAAATTGTAGCTTTTTCGCTATGCAAATTGCCCCACCTCGCTACTCGGAAAACACCGCTTTTTGGGTTTCCTTTATGTACAATACCTAACATAGGTATTGTACCTAGGTATGTAGGTACCTAACCTAAAGGTACTTGACTAAGTTAACCGACTAAAAATACGTAAAAATACATACGCGCATATGTTAGTATTTCCATCGATTTATGGATATCTTAGCTAAGTTCCTAACATATGTACACAAGCCCACCCTTTTTTCTCTACCTTTTTGAAAGCACTATGTAAAAGTTCACGGCCACTTCAAGGTTTAGTCAAGCCCCCTTTTTTGTACCGCACTACCACTACCACTACCACTGCCACTACATCGCTGTAGCTAAATCAACCGACATAGCCGACGTCTCACAGTATGGTCTTCTCTTTCAGAAAAATGCCGTACTTCTCCTTTAGCTCCTTCATTAAGGGGTCGTTAATCTTGGAGCTCATCGGAGCAAGAATGCCCCTCTCGGAGATAGTACCATCGAGCACCTGCTTGACTGCCACACCGCATGGCACACCCACTAGCTTAGCCATCGCACTGTAGCCCTTGGGATCGCCATACTCGCACAGGGTTGACGTCTTAACTTCCCGGCTGCCGTCTTTGTTCTCGATTTCGAACTTGTGCTGCAGCATTACGAAGTCTCGTTCCCCCTCCTCGTATTGCATCTTCTTTTCTAGCGTCGCGCACAGAGTGTCTAATGGGTTACCTCGGGGGGTAATCTTCTCGTCCGAGAAGATACCAATCCACCGCAAGCCACTAACGATTCGTGTCTTCTCCTCCGGTGAAGCAAACGTGGTTTTGGACGCAATTGTAGACTCGAGGTCGCCTTGGCTGCTTGCGGAGGCGCCTAGGATCTTTTGTGTAGCCTCTTTCCAGGTAATGGATTGCTTTAGGAAGTCTTGCTCGGTGTCATCTAAGAATCCAATGTCGACCAGCACTCGGATGAACTCGGGGAAGCCCTGGTATCTGAGAGTGCCACGGACGATGGTCTGTGCCTCTGGAATATTATACCGCTCCTTGTAGGGGGTCGAGTCTCGGTTCGGGTAGGCAACGAAAGCGTAACCGGGGTAGATGAAGTACGGCTTCGCAGTACCCATCAGGTCCTTTGATGCAACATCTACTACCTTGCCGTCTTTCCAGTACTTGGCCGCATTTCTCAAGGCTAAGAGAACTCCACGAGACGACCAGCTAAATTTATAACCCAGAGGGTTGTCCGAGTCTTCAGGAGCTGGCAAGCCGCCGCAGTAGGATAAGAAGCTTAGAATCTTCCCCCCGGCCTTGTGTACTTCCTCGATTGTCTTGACGGCATCTGAAAGGGTTAGCATTGCGTACTCGGCTCACATTTTGCGGGTATTCCTACATAAGTGGTCAATGCCGGGATCTATAGGGTAGTCGGTTAGTTTTCAGTAGACATGGGAAGCAAGCATTGAAGAAGGAACTTACCTAAGCCAATCTCGTTCATAACGGTGATACCGGCGTCCTTGGCTTGTTGGTCCAACTCCAACATGGCCGGCGAGACGTAGCTTGTCGTGACAACATGCTTCTTCTGGCGAATGGCCGACTTGATGACGGTGGCATGGAAGGTATAGGGGATTAAGCTGATAACTAGGTCATGCTTGCCAACCTCGGTGTCGAGAGTCTTGTCGTCGTTCACGTCAAGGGAGATGGGGGTGGCGTGTTTGACTCCCTTAGAAAGGGACTGGGCCGATGCGAGAGTTCTGCAAGCTTCGAACAGGTCAATTGGCTGTATTGAGCTTTCGGGAGGGATTCATTTGCCATACCAACGGTGACTGCAATACCAGCATCGCTCAGAATGTGGAGTGTAGGGAGGGTTACGAAACCCGCTCCGAGCATCAATACCTTCCTATAGAATCCATGAGAAGATAGAAATACGCAATGGGGGGCTTGGGTTTCTTACTGGGCCGACATCTTGTAAGTATTCACTGATCAATGGCTCGACTCTTTGGTATATAGTTGAACCCAGTGCCCAACACGAAAAGCTTGGTTCTTGAAGCTTAAAGATTTATCATTGCGATGGGGGGGGCACGCGGGGTCCCGATTACGGAATCCGTACTACTTTATCGATAACCATCTGATTAGACACGTCTACGCCGACATGACTCACTGTGTATTAGGTACCTTAGGTACCTTAGGTAGGTATATAGGTGAAGCTGGAGTTTGAGCTCGTCAGAATAATAGTGTATCATCATATTGGCTTTCTAACTGTATACGTGGTAGAGGCGAGAGATATTTACTTTCCCTTATTGTTTTGCTCCTCCCTTCGTTCCGTAAAACTACCTATAACCTAACCTATGAAACTTAGTCCTGGATTTTATTAGCTGGGGCATCTCGCCCGCCTTCAATATCCGATCAATTCTTGTGTTATAGGCAAGAGGCTTGAAACATGCACGGACCGGACATCATATGTTCGCCAAATCTTGCCGACTTAAGTTCTTGAAGTAAGCAAACGGCTTCACTAAAACAAAGAGGCTTTACTTAGCGTATTACCTATTACTTTACCGTACTATAGATCTGCCGTGTCCAAGTAGCAACACGAAAAGTAATTTAATCAGCACATACGCCAAGGGCAGCTTAGTCGGAAACAATCTTCGTGTATGTGGCACCGAGTAATAAATGCGGATAAGAAAAAAAAAAAAAAAAAAAGGAAAAAAGAGGGCTGCCGCTACTAAATTCCTAGCCGGGATCGTCCACGATAGTTTTCTCGTGACGGATGGAGGAGGTTTTTGTGCTTTGCTTGCTGGAGGGGGGAGGGGCAGGGAAATATTATTATGGTGGACATTACATATGTACCTACATTACATACTTGGCCGGAATGTCCCCAAACGGCTAGTTCCATTGCATTAGTTTTCTTCACCCCGTTGCGATCTAGTGAGGTAGCTAGCCAGTTAGATAGTTGCGAAAGGGAAGGAAGGAAGAAAAAAAGAAAAAGAAAAAAGAGGAAAAAAAAAGAGAAAAAGCGCCCACTAAAATCCAACCGTGCATGGAAACCTCCTAGAGCAACATGTGACGCAAGCATAACTGCATGGCAGCCATATCCACAGCTTCGTTAGCGCCCCACATGGATCTCCTAACTTGAGGATCTTTGTGGGTAGGGTGGGTAGGGTGGGGAACAGCCCACATGGGACCGTCTCGGGCCAGGGCGTGGGAGGGGGGGGAGAACGTAGGTACATAGCTATGTACCTATGTACCATACGTACCCACCTCCTTCTTTCTGCATGCGCACCAGCAGCAGCAGCAGCAGCAGCCAGCGTCGGTTTGGACGCAGAGCCCCAAATAGAACTTTGGAGATCCCTGCTTAGCCTGACGGGGGCCCGAGCTTAGTCCCCTGCATATCGACAAACGTAAATTAGTCTGGGCCTATCAGAGCTGGCTCCCATATATGCCTAACCTAGATCTTTAAGGATACCTGGGTACAAGACTTACACGCAACGCTTTCCATACCTAGGTACCTACATAGAGTCGTGATGAATTTTATTTTAGGTCCAACGGTTTGGAATTATCATTACAAGTACCACTTGCCGCGGCTAACGAGTCGTCACAAATGACATGTCACCGGTTCTTACTATACTTGCAGTGGATCGAGATTCTCAAGTATTTCTTGATTTTTTTTGAACGGTCAAAGCCAAGTGCTTCATAACTACACTAGTCTTGTTCCAGCTATTGATATCTTTTACGAATCTTGTATGCACGATATGCATGTCCTTCTCCTAGGCACAAAAACTCCAAGGCCTCAAGAGATCCCTTTGTTACTTCCTCACTCAAATCCGGATGGAGTTGTAGATAATTGTCCCGGAAATTAATGCTGGATTTATTATATCCAGTTTTGCTCGGTTGAGGTTCACTCTGTAGCCTGTTCCTTCTCCCCTTCATCTTCTTCATCATCTTCATCTCCTTCTTCATCGTCTGATACTGGCGGTTCCCAGGCCTCTTCTAGTTTCCATCCGCGACCTCGTCCTCTATAAGTCGTGTCTAGTAACTGTGATGTTGTTGTTCGGTAGTAGTCTAAGCTCGGATCTTCATCCGTCTTGCACGGTGGATCATATAGCCCCATGCCCACTAATATTTCTCCTTCCTCCTCTGGCTCCTCAAGCGATTGATACGGTATGGATTCCTCAGGAGTAACCATGGGTTGTGGTTGTTGTACGGGCTGGAACTCATCCGGCGTTGGAGGGGCCGTGCAAGAATTGAAATCATGAGCGCTAAGGGTATTATCCCAGTTGAATGAAGTTTGTCCGTCAAAAGACGGAAATGGTTCTAACTCGCCGGGGCTCGAGTTCACTGTATAATTAGGCATAAACTGCGGCGTAGGGTTCCACACATCGTTTGATATGTAAGTTGGTGTAGGATGAGTTTGAGAAGATTCCGCGTATGGTAAGCATAGCGGTGACATACTGGATATAGGTGAGGTCTGGCCAGAGTATATCGCCGGAGTTGGTGGTAGATTTTGGTATCCGGAATATATGTCTGTCTGCTGATATGACATTGGTGCTGGCATGACATATTGGGAAAAATCCGGTTGTGGCATAGGTATATGCATTTGTGGCTGCTGGAAATATGAAGTCGGATGCCAACTAACTGGCCGGTTATTCCTCTTGATGGGAATCTCCGGTGTTGAATAGGATGTGCAGTCCTGCTGCATCTGCTGCATGACAGCTTGGTTCAGGGCCTGCTGACGTCGCTGAGCAAGGTTGCCGTCGTTCATCATGGTCCTCCGTCGTGCCATCATGGCTTGTGGACTACTGTTGGCACTACTCGGCTTGACAATACGCATAGCTCCCGGCGTCCGCTGCCCAGTCGAACCACGAGATATCCTTCGTATAGAATCGGAAAAAGCGAACTGCCGGGATAATTCATCAAATGTTGGATCTGAAGAGTAGCTCTGAGGCGGCATATGAGGCATACTAGCCCCTAAGAGCGAGGGCATCATGGTGATAAGACGTTGTATAGAGAGGCGTGTGTAAAGAGGTTATGAGTATTCCGTTGAAGATTTCGTAGGTGAGTGAGAGAAACCTCGGAATAGAGGGAGGACGGGCAGGTAAATATGAGGTCTATTCAAAGGCTAACTTAGGCTACTAAGTTCAAGAATGTGGTAACATGAGAAAGCAAAGGGCCTCATTAAAAAGGATAAATCAAACTAAAAGCGTGGGGACAGTTGCTATGTGAGATGGCATACGGATGGGTTATATTGGGGCGATAGGGCCGAGAAACAATACCTACCTAGAGACATGGTCTGGTTTGGCATGTGTGTATATGTAGTAGTATGTATGCATGTAAGTGCGTGTCTGCGCGTGTCTGCTTCAACCTGTATGACGGTTCCCGCTTAGCTGTACTTAACTGTATTATTTTTCTTCCTGCGTCATATGGTTCCGGCAGGGGTCTAGTCGGTCTAAAAAGGGATCCTTCATTGTATTGATAACCGGGGACGGATGGGTGATGATGGCAGCGTTGGCGTTGTAGGCTAGACTAGGTTACAGTCTTTGATTTTTTTTTTTCCTTCCTGTGGTCGGTTGTTGCAAGGTATATTTCTAAATAGGTGGGCGGTCAAAGGAACGGTTTGAACGACGTCTATGTAAAAAGGACAAAGGCGCTAGACGCCTGTCGCAGGACTACCCTTGGCCCCCATTTTGCCTTGCCTTACCTTTTCCGTACCGTGCTCCTGCGGCGTAAACGAAAGTGGATGGTGTAAAGGGCGTGCAACGTAGAAAGGGGGTGTGTAAATTTGTAGAACGTGAGCCGAAATTCAGCGGGAGGGTGCGTTGGAAGGGGGAAAAGGATGTGTGCTTATCCTAGCGCGAGAGAGCGAGCCTTGCTTGATGATCGTTGTTAATAGGCTTATTGTCGTGTTCAAGGGGGGGGGGGTGTGGGGTGTCAGACGGCAAAAGGGGGCGTGGTAGTTAATTGATAGCTTTTGGCCTTTTCGACCATGGCCTTACAAGGATCCAAAGGCCTCACGTACATACGCAATGTACATAATATAATGTATACTATGTACTTGTATATTAAATTGTATCAGGGGATTGGATATAATTGTATATTGTATAACTTACATAAGAGCGAGTTAGCTTCGCTAGCTGCTCCGGTGAGATCCAGCAGATGCTTCTTCGAATCCAGGGCGGTTCCATCGGTAAGGTAACCCCGGACAGCACAGACGTGATTGGTTCGATAATAGTATTAAATACGCGTACTGTACTGTACCACATAAACATACCCCTGCCAGAGAAGGGTTGCTGCCGACAGAAGGGTGACGAGGTCCAGCTTATGCTAGGTATACTAGGAATATGATGCTAGCCGAACCCGAGGGGGTAGGTGACTATATATTACCGCTACGCAACTCCATAGCTGCTTTACTATGGCACGTATTACCATTAGCACCATTACATAGCACCATTAGCCTGTCCCAGTAGACCATGCAAGCGGACCATGGGCATGGGCCAGGGAGCAGCCCTGGCTTGCCTGCTTGTCTCCAGGCCTCGAAATTGGCCACCGCGCCAAGACGTAAAACGCTTTTCTTAGGACGGAATCAAGAGGGAAAGGGGGGTAAGATTTGGCGGAATGTGTGGGGAGTGCGCGGAGGCGAACTCATGCCTGTACGTTGGTACATAGCTAGGTTACATATGTAGTATGTTCCATTCCTTAGCATATGAGTCTTAGCATATTAAATGTATAATGTATTTTATATAGTTAATGTATCCTTATATCTCAAGCAAGCTAGGCTAAGATCTTTTCTTTTTGTCCTTATGCCGTGTGGTACATAGATAGAAACTCAAGGCTTTGATGGCATCGACTTGATAGAAGAATTGTCTTGTCAGGCAAGAGGCGTATTCTCTTTCCCCAGTCGTCAGAAGACAAAATTCGAACCCGACACTTTACCCTAATCGTCTCGATGTATGTGCGATACTATGTGCGATATATACGTACCTTGCGGCCCGTTGGCGCACGGCCATGGCGGCCGTACATATTGCTGTACATATTCAAAGGTAACCTTGCCTTGTTCAACACCAAGGGTAGCTGAGTGTACTATGTAGTAGTATATTGCCTTACTGCGTATGTACTACATACGTAAGAGGAATGCCATCCGGCTTTTTTCTTCCTTTCTTGTTTTCTTGTTAACAAAGTCCTAGTGTATTTGCTTAGGCTTAAGCAAGGACTCTTTTCGGGTTTCGACAGGAGCATGCGTTACAGGGAATAAAAGAAAATCAAAGAAAAGCGATCCATGCGGTTCAGTAGTGTGCTCTAGTTACACACACTATAAAATACTTAGTTACTATAGTAGTAGGCCCAAGTATGGAACATGTATGAAGTTACGTATGTACTACTCTTATTAGGCGAAGCCTAATATTGACTTAGTCGAGATCGTACCTGTGGTGGTTGAATTGTGATCCCATCTTAAAATGGAACTATTTTCGGAGCCTTGATTGGATCTGAGTTAAAGTTGTCTCGTGTGGACAAGACCGACAGGGTCCAATAATATACCTAAACTAGAACATACATAATACATACATGCATACATACATAATGCATGTGCCTTACGTATGGACATGGATCCAATGGACGGTACATAGGTACATGTATCTTTCATCATTGGGGGTTTTATCCCATGACAGCAAAGAAGTTGCGCCGCGGGCTATGTACCAAGGTATTAGCTTTGTAGGTACGGTAAGGTAATATCAGATGTTAGACCCGCCTGCTGTGCTCAGTAGGGTACTTTTCCGGCGACCTCTCCATGCGCCTGCTCCTTGCCTTCCTTAACTAGCTCCCCCTAAAACCCCCCTGTGAGAGGAAGATTATTGAACCTGTCGGGGAAAGAACAGGTACGTACCTCAATACTGCTATCTACCTAGGTACATATCGTATACCGTATAGTATGTACATATAATCGATATGATTTAGTGGTTACCATATTAGGAAGGGGTTCAGCAATTCAGCAACGAACCTAATGAGACAAACCACTATGTACCTTATATAAGTTCAGGTACTTATAAATATGTAACTATTACTACGTACATATATGTATTATGTACCTACACTACCTACGCTACACTACTTACATATCAGGTGCATCAAGCTTC